CGGTATTGTCGCTAGCTGCCGGCTGCGCCTGAGGAGGGGCAGCAGCGACAGCCTCTAAATGCGCTGGAATACCCTATCCGATGAAGTGAATAGGCACTGTAAAATCAACATGAAGTAGCGACTCTCTTACGTTGAATAAATATTCCACTGCTCGGTCTGGGTTGTTAAAACTTGCTCTCAAGGCCCGCATCACTTGATCGCGTTCAAAACCCATTTCCATCATGTTCTGAATAGTAGATTGTAACGCCTCGCCAGTCAAGAACGAGTTCGAATCATTAAACGCCTGTTCGGTCGTAGGCGCTGCGATGGGCTGCGCCTGAGCAGGAGTCAAGATTGGTGCATTTGGTGGTTGAGGAGCGGGTGAAGGAGCTGACGGCACAGATGGTGGCTCGGATACAGGCTGAGGAGCAGGTGCTGGTGCTGGGACTGGAGCGGGACTTGAGGTGGCGGCAATACTGGTACTGGTTGATGCAGCAGGCAAATTGGTCACGTTTTTGGGCTGTATTCCAAAGTGATTAAATTTGGATCAGAAAACAGTATGATATCCGAGGAATACCTTTGAGACCATCAGCACCAAGAAATCTTTCTCCTTAATCTCGCATGATTCGACGGTCTTCGAGTCGGGTAGAATTTTACCTGCAATACAGTCGGTGAGTGGGATCTGGTCAATTGAAATGTTATGAAGTTCATGTTACCGGAGTAAATCAACTTCTGCGACTCAATAGTGTGCCCTTGGTTGTCCTGTATCTTCTTCTTCAGATCGGCCACTGTGTCTGATCCCTCCGCATCGATCTACAAGCGCATCGTGAATGCTGCAAATCTAGCTAATCGCAGCGGTAAGGATCATACCTGGAAGACTTTCTGCTGCAGTGTTTTAACAGTGATTTTCATCGTGGCGAGATGTGCCAGTGAAGGTCGGGGATGAGATTGGACGGAGAGAAAGTGTGAAGAAACGACCACTTACGCGTCTTCCTCACGTGATTGCGGAGCAGCGTCGACGCGCGTCAATCCAGCTCGTGGTGCCCACCTGCTTAGCACCTGCTTAGCACCTGCTCAGCACTGGTGCTGTCCCGCCCTCCGGTCGCTTGCTCCATCCCACAGAGGCGAAATATTACCTGCTGGTACAGTCAAGACCTTCGCATTGATAGCGAAAGTGCCGGAACACCTCCAGACTGAAACAGCTGAACGTAAGTCGCGTTAAGCACTGCTGGTCTGCTCAGGACGCTTCCACTGTCCTAGATTATGGAGAAGGAGTCGGGCGACGATTATATCCGACGCATTGCTAGCTACATCCACGCGCACGAACAAGGTCTCGCCGCTGCTGGTCTCATTCGCAAACGGCGCGCCAAGAATGTCTCCGAATCGTCCATCCTTAATCCTCTCGGCTGGTTTGCGACTGACAGTGCTGTTGGTCCACCATCAATCAAGCCTGTCATTCTTACATTTGATGCACACCATTTATTCTACCTCTTAATGCGTCTTGAGGCCCTTGGAATTGATGTTGGCTCGCTCGAAGTTAGGACTGACAGCCCATCACGACCCATGAACTACATTAACATATTCCCCGACTCAGACAAATCAGAAACACTCTCCCTTCTTTCATTTCGCTCATCTCTATCTGCGGTCTCGCGCCTTTCCCTCGGCGCGGGCTGGTGGGGCCGACCGCTACCGCCCAGTGTGGACAACGAGCTCAAGTACATCTACAGTTGCTTTACAAAGCTTCCTGCACTCTCTTTACGCGCTCCCGAGGCACGAATAATAGCTGATATCGCCAACGAGGCACCTAACGAGAATGCGCTCCCTCTCGATGTTTTCAAGAATCTACAGACGTTGCAATGTGTAGACATTGATCCGCGCACACTGCTTGGATGGGATAGGCTTGCCGAGAGTTTGCGAAGCTTAATCATCAAGAACAGTGGGATTGAGGATTTCTCAGACATATTTATTGGTGCAGTTCTTGACGATCAGGCGCGGAGGGACGGGCGCGCGCAAAATGCCAGGACACGCCAGGTCTCTCGAGGTGTTTCCCGGTCAACATCATTTTATGGCACTCGGCTTCCTGACACTGTTCCGGAGGACGTGGAAGACGAATCCGACGATACAAGTATGAAGGAGACGCCCAAGCCTACATCTCCTGCGGAGCTGTCATCGTTGAAGTGGGCTTTTCTCCGCCATTTGTCGTTGGCCGATAATGCGCTCACGTTTCTACCAACCTCTCCCCTGCCCTATTTGACATCGCTCACTCACCTCGATCTATCTTCTAACCTGCTTGTCTCCGTCCCGCCAGGACTTTCACTACTGTACAATCTCGTCTCGTTAAATCTCTCAGACAACATGATTGATTCGGTGTTGGGCATTTACACGGTACTGGGCCAAGTTCTATACCTCAACCTATCGCGCAATCGACTTGAGTCGATATGTGGTCTTGAGCGATTGTTGGCACTTGAACGGGTCGACTTACGGCAGAATGTTATCGAGGAGAGCGCTGAAATCGGGCGTCTGGCAACATTACCAAACATTAGAGAGGTATGGGTGGAAGGTAATCCATTAGTAGATCTCGAAGAAAGTTATCGGATCCGCTGCTTCGACTGTTTTTGCAAAGAGGGGAAGAGTATTCAATTGGACGGTTCCCCGCCTGGCTTCTATGAGAAGATGTACCTCAGTTCGCCACCTCTGGAACAGATGAGTTCCCCTCGACCGCCCTCTGTGGCTTACACTCCGCCGGTTGTTGCTGTTGGACATCCTCGCGTCAACAGTCCATCGCCGATGCCCAGTCCGCTACAGTCATCATCATCACCGCCCTCGACTCCGAATACACCATCGCCTCAATTGGCGGCAGTCAAAGGACGGCGGAAGAGGAACAAGCGGATTGTCGATTTGGACGGTGGGCATGACACCAGTGAGGCCGGGAGCTCGAGGAGTACATCCCACGCACAGGCATCATCCCGTGTTGACAGCGACACCAGTCATGCAAGAATATCACCACAGCCGAACATCTCATCCCAATCATATCCACAAGCTGGCC